TTTGCGACCAATGCCAACACGGTACTGTCCGTGTGCAAGCATTGGAATGCACTCCCAGAGGGATGCGCTACACTAACATGGGCTGCACCGCTGTTCTACGTGTTCCCCCCACTCCTGCTTCTTCATTGGGTGCTCAACAAGGTAAGACCGGATGGGGCCACAGTGATCTTGATTGCTCCTTGTTGGCCCAGACAGACATGGTATACTTGGTGGGTGACAGGGGAGGGATCATGTGAGGGTTACCCCCATCCATGGACCTTATGTTTTGCTCATCATCATTTATCTAGGTGACAAATTTAGCCTGACTCTGCCTTAGCTCACATACAGGGTGTGGTCTGTAGGCCCCTTGTGTTACAGCCAAAATAGACTCTAATATAAAGGTGTAAACCTCTTAGAATAAAACAAAGACTCATCCCTCAAGGAAAATCAGAAACTCAGATAACTAGGCAAGCAAGTAGCCTAGCCTCAGCACTTGTCTCCACTTACCAGGAGATCAGCACTGCGGAGATAGCTCTCCCAGGGTTCAATTTAGCAGGTCTACTAGGGACCCACTAAATCAGCCACTGATTGCGCTCCCCCCAACCCTGGTACCTCACCGGGTCACAAGCAGTCAGGGAAATCAGCGGGAGAGTTTCTCCTGCAGTAATGCGACACTGTTCACGTGGTGGGACTTGCAGATCTTAGTTTGACTTTCTCCCCTCGTGTAGGCCTGGCCTGCGATATGTTTTGCGTACCTGGTCGATACGTCAGGTTATTGCTAGGACGCTTCTGTGGCTGACTTGTGGTCAGAACTCCCCTTGAACTCCATTTTCAGTTCCCCAAACACTTGGGGATTTCATTGGCAAAGTGCATAGGCCTCCAGCCTAATGCTGACTTGCTGTAGCTCATGTCTCACGGGACACAGGCCGGTTTCTTGCACCCCTTCTGAATAGCCTGTGAAGAGTAAATACACTGAAGGCGAGCTAGCCCACTGGGCTATAGGAGCAGTGAAGAAAGCAAAGGCAAACGGACAGATCAGCATAATATGCTCCTCCCTGGCTGGACCGACCTGCCTTGAGCGCTGGGGACACAGACAGTAATGCTGACATGGAACACTTCTTTGAAAGCAACAGAAGCGGCCTTTATTTCTCCTTTCACTGCAAGCAGCTGCTTTGATTGCAGCACCATCTGCCACAGACAGAATGTGCTTCAGAGTCAATGGCTGATTCTCCCTTCCTGAGGTTCTGCCTGGGCAAAGTTTTCCAGCGTCCTCATTTTCCAAAACGGAGTCTGAATTCCATGGGAATCAGATGTCGTGTCCGGTGATCCTCCCCAGACTCCACTCTCATCCTGCACAGTTACTGTCGGTGCCCTGGATGTCATCAGAGGTTTGGAGCCTTATGTTCATAGGACAAAGCTCCTTAGGAAATCACCGTGGCTTTTGATGTGCTTTGGTGGGCAGTGTGGCGGGCAGGCATCTCCACACAGCTGTCTAATGGCACGAGGCTATTGCTGGGGTTACACTAGCAAGCTCACGGCACCGCAGTACAGCTGCATTGTTCTAAGCCCTCTAACGTAGCTGCTCTCAGCAGACACTGAGCTCTCTCCTTCTAGCTTAATTCTTCCAGTCCCCATGGGCAGCGGTGGCTACATTGGCACGAGAAGAGCACTGTCCACACCGGCCCCGATACTGCTGTTAGTTATGGTCTCTCAGCGGCATGGCTAATTCGTACGCATGAGAGACACACCTGTATTGACTTGATCCATTGTGTCCCTGCAGCCTGTGCACTGAGTCCTGTCTTACCTGTTGTCCATTAGCCAGGTCTCAGCACCCCAGGGCCTTCGGGCTGGCTGCATTAGGGTTAACTTGGAGTTTCTGGCATGTGCGAGCTTGCTGGGAATCCTCCCAGGAGTTCTGTACTTCCACCTTCTCATCCTGGCACCCAGGACGCTTCCATGCCGTTCGGAGGACAATTTGGCATCTTTGCCCAATCAGAATGTCTTTACCCACCCTTTCAAAGCTGGGTCTGTTAGCTAGATGCCACCTGGCCCAGTGTGAGAATGCAGAGCCTGAAGAAGGGGAAGAGCAGAAAGTATTTAGACCCGATCCAGGTGTTGGTGTGGACCTGCTCCCCATAGTATCTGAGCCCCTCCATCATGAGTGGATTTGGTCACCACTGAGGTGTGAAAGGACCATGCAGCTGTTGCCAAGGGGGAACTGAGACACTGCAGTGTAACCAAACTCATCCAGGAAGTCTGGGCGGGACCTGGGAATTGAGCACGGGCTTCCTGTCCCCCCATTCTGCGCTTTAGCCACTTATTTGTCCTTTCACCCTGTGGCCACACTCCCTGCCTGCCCTGGAGCCCGGCTTCCCTGGGACCTGGGGGCGAAGGAGAGGGGAGTGGATTTGGTGGGCTCACTGAGCCTGCTATAACCCGGGCTGTGCTTCCTTGAGCCTCAGCAGCCCGGGAAGAACACACTCCAAGTGTGTGCCGTGGTCAGGCTCTTAACAAGCGCCTGTCCTTTCCTGTGCTCCGGCATGTTGAGAGCCTGCTGTTTCAGGCAATCTCTGTCTTTGGCTAAAGAAGTTGGTTTTCAGAATCCTCTCGTGGAGCTGTTCAGTTGGTTGCTAGAGCCAGAGTCGTGTTTTACATGTGCTTGCAAGAGCTCAGGCTAGAGGGCCTCTGACTCTGCATCTCCTTTCCCAGGTAGCTGAGCTTTGCCGGGTGGCCCCGCTGCCTTGCATTCAGGAGGGCTCGGGGCAGTCCCAAGGGATCAGGCACAGACAACGAATGGAGGCTACAATCGACTTGAGTGACACATATGTTACCATCGCACCTAGGAGTTCTAGTCTTGGACTGGTAGCCCATCCCGCGAGTTGCTGTGATAACCCAGGACAAAGAGATGGTCCTTGTCTACTATGAGACGCCAGATGGACACAGGCAGATGGGGGAGTGCAAGTGACCAATGAGCCAGGGCTGATCAGCATGACAGGCCATGGGTTGTGCACACCAGCAGCAGAAACGCTGTCAGTGATGTTGTGTAGGCATCAGGCACAGGAGAATGTTGAGGAAGGTAACTAGTGGTGTCCCCCAGGGTTTTGTACTGGGATTGATACTACTTAACCTATTATAAATGGTCTGGAGAAAGGGATAAACAGGGAGGTGGCAAAATTTGCAGGTGATACCAAACTGCTCAAGTTGGTGAAGACCAAAGGAGCCTGTGATGAGCTTCGAAAGAATCTCACCAAACTGAGTGATTATGCAACAAAATGGCAAATTGGATTTAATGTGGAGAAATGCAAAGTTTAATGCACATTGGAAAAAATAATCCCAACTATACATCATCTCAAAAAAGATATATTGGCATTGGAAAAGGTTCAGAATCATAGGACTGGAAGGGACCTCGAGAGGTCATCGAGTCCAGCCCCCCGCCCTCAAGGCAACAAGAGCAACAAAAATGTTTTGCGGTTTGGAATAGGTGCCAAATGAACAGAGATTAAAAAGAGTGGGACTTTTCAGCTTAGAAAAGAGGAGACCAAGGGGGATACGATAGAGGTCTATAAAATCATGACAGGTATGGGGAAAATGAATAAGGAAAAGTTATTTAGTTGACCCCGTGTTCTTATGTTATGGCAACACCAAATAAAATTAATAGGCAGGGGTATGTCTACACTACCCCCCTAGTTCGAACTAGCGGGGGTAATGTAGTCATCCGCAGTTGCAAATGAAGCCCGGGATTTGAATTTCCCTGGCTTCATTTGCATGAAGCCGGCCGGCGCCATTTTTAAATGCCGGCTAGTTCGGACTCCGTGCCACGCGGCTACACGCGGCACGGACTAGCTATGCCATAGCCAGCATTTAAAAATGGCACCGGCCGGCTTCATGCAAACGAAGCCCGGGAAATTCAAATCCCGGGCTTCATTTGCAACTGCAGATGACTACATTACCCCTGCTAGTTCGAACTAGCGGGGTAGTGTAGACATACCCCAGGAGGTTTAAAACAAACAAAAGGAAGTTTTTCTTCACTCAGCACACAGTCAACTGGTGGAACTCCATACCAGAGGATGTTGCGAAGACCAGGACTTTAACAGGGTTCATAACATAACTAGATAAATTCATGGAGGTCAGGACCATCAGTGGCTATTAGCTTAAATGGGTAGGAATGGTGTCCCTAGCCTCTGTTTTCAGGGGCTGGAAATGGATGGCGGGAGAGGGGTCACTTGGTGATTCCCTGTTCTGTTCATGCCTTCGGGCATCTGGTGTTAGCCACTGTCAGAAGGCAGGGTACAGGGCTAGATGGACCTTTGGTCTGACCCTCTCTGGCCCTGTTGTGCTCTAAGGAGCTCTGTGGGAGCTCCTCCCAAAGGCATGGGCTGCAGGGGAAAGCATGCAGGTGTTTGTCTGGAAAGTTTAACAATGGCCACTGGTGGTTGCCACCCTGTCTACATTTTCTTGGCTAAATTCTAGTTTGGCTAATTATAATCTACCTGTCTCCATTCCCTCTGCTGCTAATGTGACGTCCTTCCTCGTTTCCTGTAGTAAGCCTGGACCGAAAGATCCTACGATGGGCAAAATATTATTAAGAGTCCTCTCTTCCGGGGCCAGAAGGACTGACTCCTGTGAGCATCTGCTCTGACTTCCTACATGATACAGGCCATCGGGTTGCCCTGACCTACTTCCAGGCATCGAGTTGCTAGCAGTGGGAGCAGTAGGCAGCCCATTTCAGTATGGTGATGTGGCCAGGATAACACTGCTGTGGGCACTGGAACTCTGTTGCCTGTAAGCCAGGCAGGTGTATGGAATTGGGGCCACCCGCCGTTAGAGAGCTCTGTGCGGGCATCGGGCCAGGCAGGTGCAGTCTCTGTGTGAGGTTTTTACAGATCTCTGATGGAAACCTTGGCTCAGGACGCGGGCAGATGGACAGCCAGCGGGTGGGAAGTGGGCCCCTTCTGTTGCGCAGGGACGGCAGGGGTTAGATGTGAGTGTTGTTTTGCCTTCTGTCTCTTTGCAATTTGCAGAGTCGGTGGGAGAGACGGGCTAAAGGAAATGGTCTTGTGGAGCCTTGGCAGAGACCCAGAGTAGGGGAGGTGCATGTTGGACGGCACTAGAGATGACCTTTTCATGGGAGCTGCGGTAAATACTACATCCTACCACTTTATTTTGAATAGCATTTTGCACAGAGTCCTTTCCAAACTGCTGGACAGAGTGTGCTACAGAGCAGCGTGCAGCCTGCACAGGATGGCTGAAGGGGGCTGGCAGCCAGAGGGAGGCCAGGCAGAGAGAGAACTGGAAGGTCAGATCTGCAAGTGGTGGCGAGTAACAAGGAGCTGCAGCGATGTCCCACTGCTGTAGCGTGAAGGGTCTGAGAGGAGAAATGCAACCATGGGAAAGGTCTCTGTTCTGCTGGGTGCTGAAATCAGGGGGGAGCTAGTGGAGTTGTGGAGGCAGCGGTGTATCTTCGGGTATCTGTGACCTGGGGATGTAACAGATTAGCTGCTAAGAGGGTGCTTATTGGTTAGCGCTATCAGCTACAGGCCCCCCCACTCCCCTCCATGGTTCCACAAGCAAATTTTGTAGTGGGCTGGCCGATAGGCTTGCTCAGTCCCAGCTTGAGCCGGGTTCCAGCAACTACACCCACAGCAGCTCTGCGCTGGAAGCCCTGGAAGAGCCAGAGTGCGGGCAGCCTGCACTCAGAGCTGCAGCGGGGCCGTTGCCGGGACCCAGCTCGAGCCGGGACTGCGCCACGCGCCGGCTAATGGGCTTCCCTTGCAGAGCTGCAGCGGGGCCGTTGCCGGGACCCAGCTCGAGCCGGGACTGCGCCACGCGCCGGCTAATGGGCTTCCCTTGCAGAGCTGCAGCGGGGCCGTTGCCGGGACCCAGCTCGAGCCGGGACTGCGCCACGCGCCGGCTAATGGGCTTCCCTTGCAGAGCTGCAGCGGGGCCGTTGCCGGGACCCAGCTCGAGCCGGGACTGCGCCACGCGCCGGCTAATGGGCTTCCCTTGCAGAGCTGCAGCGGGGCCGTTGCCGGGACCCAGCTCGAGCCGGGACTGCGCCACGCGCCGGCTAATGGGCTTCCCTTGCAGAGCTGCAGCGGGGCCGTTGCCGGGACCCAGCTCGAGCCGGGACTGCGCCACGCGCCGGCTAATGGGCTTCCCTTGCAGAGCTGCAGCGGGGCCGTTGCCGGGACCCAGCTCGAGCCGGGACTGCGCCACGCGCCGGCTAATGGGCTTCCCTTGCAGAGCTGCAGCGGGGCCGTTGCCGGGACCCAGCTCGAGCCGGGACTGCGCCACGCGCCGGCTAATGGGCTTCCCTTGCAGAGCTGCAGCGGGGCCGTTGCCGGGACCCAGCTCGAGCCGGGACTGCGCCACGCGCCGGCTAATGGGCTTCCCTTGCAGAGCTGCAGCGGGGCCGTTGCCGGGACCCAGCTCGAGCCGGGACTGCGCCACGCGCCGGCTAATGGGCTTCCCTTGCAGAGCTGCAGCGGGGCCGTTGCCGGGACCCAGCTCGAGCCGGGACTGCGCCACGCGCCGGCTAATGGGCTTCCCTTGCAGAGCTGCAGCGGGGCAGCTGCCGGGACGGAGCGGTTGCAGTACCAACCCTTACCGATTAATCGTGTGCTCGACTACGCGGTCAACGAATGACGCGCTTCTTCACATCCCTGCTTTGAGCCTGTGAGCAGGTGGAGGCAGCAGCACCCCGCGTCTTCCGGAGAGCTGGAAAATGAGCACCTGGGAAGGAGCGGCAGGAGTTAAGGGAGGGGAGGCTGAAGCCTGGAGGCACTGGGGACGAGCCCTAGCCCTGGGGAGGAGTTTCAGCAGCAGGCGCTGAGGCGCTGGTGTTGCTGACGGAGGTTTGTTCCAGTGCGTGAGGCACAGTTGCAGCTGGAAAGGATGCTGGAGCAGGAGGCGTGCTCAGGCCCAGCAGAGGCCCGTGAGAGGCCTGGGTTGAGGAGGAGGATAGGGCTATGCGTGGAGATGCTTCTCTTGCACTGGAGAGACTCTTCTGTATTTAGCTGCAAAATTCGGAGACAAGTCCCAAGCGTGTCAGACGGAGAAACTGGAGGGGCAGGTCCCTGGGTGGCACTGAGCACAGAGGAGGAGGGGAAGTGGCCACGCGAGTACAAGGGGGAGTCCCTGGCTACACAGAGGAGAGCCTGTCTGCGAGGTGAGGGACCCCCGCTGTGCTGGGGCAAAGCTGTCATCAGGCCGGGTATTTCTGTGGCGCCGCAGTGCCCCCCACACCAGGGTGGGTGAGCAGAGGAGACCCTGACACCTGGCTCGGGAAGAAACCTCTGGAGATGGGCATACGCGTCAGGGCCATGCCCTGGGGCAAGGATTGGGGCAAAGGTGTCGCTGACTAGGAAGGGACCCCCTCACGCCTAGTGGGAGGGCCAGTTTGCACTGAAATGGGTCAGAGGACGGCTGCTCTGCGGCTGCCTCGTGCAATGCTTTCCTAAGTGGCATTCTTTCCAACCTAAGTCTTTGTGATTTTAGCACCGCTCGTATCCCTGCGCGGGGCCACGCACACACCAGGGCTGAGCCACTGGGGAGCCCAAACCCCGTCTCGGCAGTGTTTGGAAGTGCAACGGGCCAGTTTCCTCTCTATGTTCAGGCCACCCCCTTTTACTAGATACCACCCAAAGATGCGACCATCGAACTGGAGGCATCGCATGAGGAACATCCCATACGGCATGTTGGGGAAAGGACCTGGGGGGAAAAGGAACTTCCATTTCTTCTTCGAGGCGTGTCCCTGGGTGTGCTCCTCGGCAGGCGTGTCCCTGGGCGTGCTCCTCCGCAGGCGCGTCCCTGGGCGTGCTCCTCCGTAGGCGCGTCCCTGGGCGTGCTCCTCCGTAGGCGCGTCCCTGGGCGTGCTCCTCCGTAGGCGCGTCCCTGGGCGTGCTCCTCCGTAGGCGCGTCCCTGGGCGTGCTCCTCCGTAGGCGCGTCCCTGGGCGTGCTCCTCCGTAGGCGCGTCCCTGGGCGTGCTCCTCCGTAGGCGCGTCCCTGGGCGTGCTCCTCCGTAGGCGCGTCCCTGGGCGTGCTCCTCCGTAGGCGCGTCCCTGGGCGTGCTCCTCCGCAGGCGTGTCCCTGGGCGTGCTCCTCCGCCGGGCCGTCCCTGGGCGGGTCCCTGCGTCAGCG